TTAGGTTCTACTTCCAACTAGGTCTTGGTTGCAAACAACACAAACTGATTCCTGTTTGCACAAGCTGAAAAATGACTTATGGAGAGAGTGTGTTGAATAGCACAACGAATGGATGGGATAGCTGGAAAGTTTGGCTTGGGAGAGATATTCATAAGCCAAGGAAGAGAAGGCTACAGTAATAGAATACAGTTATGTCCTGCTTAATGGTACATTCTGAGAAGTCAGTCTGTCCTTAGATGATCTCTTTATCATGTGAACATCTGTAGAGTATACTTACTCAAACCTAGATGGTATAGCCTATTGTTCCTAAGCTGCAAACCTATACAGCATGTACTGTACTGAATACTGTAGGCAGTTGGAACATGATGGTGACATTACTGTATACTATAAACTGTATAAACATGGTACGCTTAGGGTACATTATATTTATAAAAAATTTATTAAAAATATTTTCTTCACTAATAAATATAGGCCATTTACAGTGGCTTATGCCTGTAATCCTAGCATTTTGGGAGGCTAAGGTGGGAGTGCAGTGGTGTCATCATAGCTCACTGTAACCTCAAACTCCTGGGCTCAAGTGGTGCTCCTGTCTTAGCCTCCTAGTAGCTGGGACTACAGGTGTGTGCCACCTAGCTAATTAAAAAAATATATTTATAGCCAGGTGTGGCAGCTCACACCTGTACTCCTAGCCCTCTGGGAAGCCAAGGTGGGTGGATTGCCTGAACTCACTGGTTTGAGACCAGACTGAGCGAGAGCGAGACCTCATCTCTTAAAATAGTTGGGGGTTGTGGTGGGTGCTTGTAGTCTGGGAGGCTGAGGCAAGAGAATTGCTTGAGCCCAAGATTTGGAGATTTCTGTGTGCTATGACGCCACTGTACTCTACCCAGGGCAACAGTTTGAGACTCTGTCTCAAAACAAACAAAAGCTGGCCAATACCTGACTGATAGACTTCAGCAAACTTATTTTACTTTTGTGTGTTTCTCTTTTATTTTATGTAAATTTGGAATATTGTCTTCTCACTATTAAATAATAACAGTATTAAAAGTGTGATCAAGGCTCGGTGCCCGTAGCACAGTGGTTACTGCGCCAGCCACATACCAAAGCTAGCGGATTTGAACCTGGCCCAGGCCACCTAAACAACAATGGCAACTGCAAGAAAAAAATAGCCAGGCATTGTGGTAGGCGCCTGTAGTTTCAGCTACTTGGGAGGCTGAGGCAAGAGAATTGCTTAAGCCCAAGAATTTGAGGTTGCTGTGAGCTGTGATGCCATAGCACTTTACCAAGGATGACATAGTGAGACTCTGTCTCAAAAAAAAAAAGTGTGATCAAATATTTTGAGCTTTTCAAGAGCAGTATACTCTGGAAGAATGCAGTGGATGGGACTTTAATTTCTGTGATATAAACTGTAACACTTTAACATATTTTCCCTTTCCTTGGAATGTATTAATGTATTAATAATTTTGAAATATCTTTCTGAAGTTCATGGCAACTTTTAAATTTGAAGAGTGTAGTCTTAGGCTTATTGTTTGATTTCTTGGGGATTTTTACATAATTTAATAGCATTGCCCTCAAAGATACAAGCAATGGGACTTAAAAATGTTAAACCAAGATTTCTGTTCATAGCCTAAGGAAACTGATATTGGCTGCCATGAATGCATTTTAAAAAGGGAGTATTTAAGCATTCTAAGCATGAGGCAGAGTCTCATTTTGTCACCTTTAGTAGAGTGCCGTGGCCTCATAGCT